CGTCCATGTTTTCAGCGTTAAGGTTGATTCGGGATCCTTGGGGGGTGAGAGATCAAGCAGTTCATCAGAATCCAGTCACCCGAGTCCGTTGGGCATTTCATCTCTCTCTTTCATGAAAGGTAATATACTTTGCATAGTTTATACTGGATGGCTCTTCGGTTAACTTGCAGACGCTGTTACTCGGAATATCCTATGCCTGCTGCATTGGTGGCAAGGAAAGTTACTTCGGAATATCCTACGTCTGCTGCATTGGTGGCAAGGAAATTTGTTCCCAAATCCGCAGGCGTTTTAGATTAATGTAAATTTCTAAATGAATAACAGTTGCGGATTCTGATCTTGGTCTCTTTCGGTTTCATTCTAGGTTTATCTTTCTCCGGTGTGCTGCCAAAGTATTTCAGCTCAGAGTGGTCAGTAGCTAAATATCACTTGCCGGAAGGTCTGCGGTACACCGTTGCCTTTGGCCACCAGAAGGAACACGGTGGTGATCCTTGGCATGGACGGAAGGTAAGCGATTTTGATATTGTTTGTTCTTTTCTTTCCCTGCCTTCTGAATATTACTCGTCTAATCCAGTTATCGGATTACCAATACAGCTTCTACCGATGCCAGTTTGACCCCGTAAACGGAGGAGGGATGACTCAGATTGAATACCATAACTTTCTTAAGCCCGAAGAAACCTCCTGAAGTAGTGCAAATATACAGTTATGGTAATGACTCCTATTACGTTGCGTCCTTTTGTCCCTTGCATTGCTTAGGGTTGAAATTAGTACATTGTAAATATCTGAGGAAATGAGGAATGTGCTAGAGATTGTTCAACATTTCAACATTGTAAATAAACTTGTCTCCAAATTTCTGCTTCGCAGCGTTCGGGATTAGTTCAATTTTGACCTTACTGTATGTTTCTGCGAGATTTACATACGTAAGATTAGATACAAGTCCACGTTACGTTCTTCATCCAATGAAGGAAGAAATAGACGATATTTGAGTTACAAAACGATTCACATCAATATAGAGAGTGTTTTTTTGAGCTTACATGAACACGTACAAATTGGCTGGCTAATGCATACACTCTTGTACTTTTTAGTCACGGGATTACAGGAATCAGACATAGCAAACATCTTGTACACAAACGCTTTTCATTCAACAACAATAAAGCTTTAAACCATTCAATTGGGTCGGCTGTATGAAACCTAAACGCTTTCCAATCACATATCTGAATTGGACTCATCTGGGATCATTGTTAAAGTCACTATCTCGTCCCTCGCTCATATAACGACTGCCCGATGGGCACCCCGACTCGGTCTCCCATTATTTCAATGATCTGTCACAATTTCACCAATAATATGAATATCTTTATGATGTTGTTAGGAGTTTCCAGAATTACAGCTAATTCTGTAAATTTCAATGAAATAGTGTTTTAGGAGTTTCCAGAGTCCATTTAAATCCAAAATATCTTTATGGAAAGAAAATGATGAGACGAATCAAACTCGTTATTTTTCCACGACCTAAGATGGATTTACTTCTGCCTCTCCACATAGCCTTATAAGGTTGGACCTTATTTCTTGCACCCCTTGGCATAACTTGGAAACATCGATTGGACTTGGTGGCATGCATGTGAGAACGAGTTGGGTGAAGAGCATGTCGACATCTTGGGAGGGTTTGAGATTTTCTCACACAATTCGCAAACTCTTTGTACCAAAGCATCTCCCTGGCAACACATGTCGACACTATGAGGATATGGTGATCAAATACTATTGGGAAATAAGAATGAAAAATCGAAGTTTCAAACACTCTTGAGAAAAATCTCCACGGCTTACTTGGTGACATCCTCCAAGGAGTCGTCATTTGTGGGCACTTGTGGGGTCCATGTTGTGAGGGGTTGCGAGTTGATTATTGATTTATAATGCATTGTGATTGTAGGTCCATCGCACCTCGATTGCCACCTCAATTTTTTTTATTAGTGTAACAATTAGTACTCACGAGTTCTGTAAAATTTCTAGAATAATGTTAAGAAAATCAAATTTTAAATAATTTAATATTTGACAGTTAATTAATAACCTAATTATCAACAATAATTTTATTTGATAATAAAAAAAATTATTTCCCTAGTATTATCCAAATTTTTACAAAAATGCTAGAATTTTCTTGTATATTATTTTTCTTATGGTGGCACATATATTTGTAGAACATAGTCTTGTTGAGGAAGAAAATAACATTCACATTCTATTTAAAATAGAAAATACACCTGAAAAGAAAAATAATAAAAATTAAGATTGTGTGATAGATAAAATATGTGTGTGAATAGGTAAAGTAGCAAGCCATCCCTACCAACGGTTCTGGTTAGTTCAGCAGGGAAAAGTAGTGATATGTGATGTAGAGCGATGGGAGAAAATGATGCCATCTCTTTTTTTCTTACATTGAACGCACAAATGAGACCTAAATATAAATAAATAAATAAAGGGAGAAAGGAGTCCTCAAAACCCTTTTTATGGTAGGCACTCATGATCACAAGCTAGTGACAACTGATAAGATCATACATTTAACAATAGTACTTACTCTTAATTACCATTAGAGTTTGTAAATAAAAATGTAGACTATATTAGATTTTCGAAGTAGAACAATGTAAAACACGAAATGTATATCCTCATCAAAGATACAGAGTTTTACACATTATATATGCATGATAGCTCAACGCACGTTTCTTATTAAATTAAGAGAAAAAATTAACACCTAGATAAATAGACATGAAGACACTTAAAAAACCTAATTAGATGTTCGATGTTACATGATCAATATCATAATGAGAAACAATTCCTTAACCTAAATAAGGCCTAGCTTAGATCCCCATGAACTCCAAGACGAGGTAAGTTGGATAAAGATTCTCCTACTTATACTTTCACACAATACTGATTTATATAGAGAGTAATTTAAACATTTTCTTGAGTGTTGGCCTCATGAGTTACTATCAGCATCTTTCAGTTCACACCATAGCAATTGGCTTGACATTTTGTTGTGAACCCCACATGCCTTAACCTAACTATAAACAATGTCATAGTCAGGTCCACATAATGTAATTGTCCAGATTAAAAGTAAATAAATATATAACTTTGGTTGAGTTTTGGAGTTTCTTCACCCAAATTCTTCATTCAAAATCAAAATGATGATAGCTGCTACTTGTTTTGGGAATGATTTTTGTATATCATTCACACTTTTGTTTATATATGTCCCGTAATTCTTCTTCGGTTATTTAATTCAAAGATAAAAAATGAATATAAATGAGCATCGATCACTTCTCTTTGTTTATATATATTTTTATTGGAACTATATTCTACCATATATTTTAGAAATAATTTCAAGTTAGTTTGGGCGAAGTTAATGATTCGGTTATGCAGTTTCTTAATCTCTAAAACACAAAATCGGTCCCGATTTACATCATCAGATATTCGGATGTCGTAGATTGGAAAAATTAGATATTCAAATGTGTTACAACAGTAAGTTAATATTTTGTATTTGAAGACAAAACATATGCTGCTGTGTGGGGCCTTTATGTATCTACAATGTTGTCATAGACACTGAGTTCTTACTTGTTAGACGTTGTCAAAGTGCCTCGTAGCTTCCACTATGCTTATTCTGTTTTTTCTCTAGCTGAAGATTAAGTTGGCTTTACAGGAACTGGGTGGCCATATAATTCCAATCAGTAAAAGCGTCTTTCCTAATTCGAATTCAACTTCCTACGATATTGTTATATTAATATTATTTATTCCTTCTTTTTTGTCAGCTTTAATTTTCTCTTTCTACTTTCAAAGGTTTAGATACCATATACAATTAAATCCAGATGCTCTCCTCTTCCATTTTTTCATTTCCCTCCAGTCCCTTTCTATTTGAACACTTACGATTAAACATTTTGTGTTAACTTCTTTATAGGGAGAACAATACAGAGAAAAATATGTGAGAAAAAATAAGAAGAGTGAGATTTTAGAGAGGAGAAAATCTTACTCCTATACAATCATTCTTTTAGGTAGTGCAAGATGTTTTTCGCCCTTGGAAGTTTATTTTTGTTTGACTTCATTTTTAACCTCTAAAGATATGGATTCTTACAAGCAGCAAAAACAATTTGGAAGCGCATTACTTTCATGCAATATATACAATATATATATATATATACAGAGAGCTTAAGAGGAGGGATCCCCATTTTTTGAAAAAAATGGGGATTAGGTGTGGGGCCCACTTCACATCTAATTTCAACGATCCGAACCGTCTATTTTGTTAGTCTCGATTCATAGATCATCCTTGCAAAATATTAGCTAAATTGGAAATGTTTAAGACATCTAATTGGGTTCAAGGAAATGAACGAATACTTTGTTATATAAGAAAATATGAAATTGATATTGATAATTAAATATGCAAATGGTTTCGGATTGAATTGAATTTTTGCAAGGATGATCTATGAATCGAGACTAACAAAATAGACGGTTCGGATCGTTGAAATTTGATGTGAAGTGGGCCTCACACCTAATCCCCATTTTTTTCAAAAAATGGGGATCCCTCCCCTTAAGCTCTGTGTGTGTGTATATATATATATATATATATCTCGGATGAATTGTTCCGATAAAATTAGTTAAATTCAATTGATTTTTATCATCAATGTTTAACCTTTTTTGCATCCTCATCGATATTGATACATATATAGATTGCTAGTCCATCTAACATTTCCATAACTCATCGCACTCTATACTCCAAATATTTAAACAAACCCTAATCTCATTACGTAGACCTTCAAGCAATGGCAGCCCAGAAATTATTCCTTGTATACAACAACAATACCAACACCACCTTATTCCACTAAGTGAGGTCAACTGTTATAGAGATTCGACATGAAAACGAAGTACCAACTGTCGATTATCTAACGCCCTCTCCCACCTTCTTTATTCGTATCGTCGTCGTTTTGGAGCACAAAATCTTTCTCTACAATATCACCGGCTTAACGATCAAGCATTAGATCATGACCATCTCAAACCCCAAAGGCCTCTACGAGGTCTCGCAGGGTTCGGGTCACCCCGTGCTGGTTTGCCCGGGGCTCCATAAGGGTCAAGTTCGGGTCGACCATTACGGGTCAAAGCGGACCAAGTTTATTGTCGCCCACGATTCTATGTTTTCTTGCTTGGGGCTCACTCAGGACAGTCGGCTGCTCGTTACGGCCATCAGTAAAGGGACTTTGATTCGGATTTTCAATGCTTTGGATGGTTCATTACTACAAGAGGTATTTAAATTTAAATTCTTTTTCTTAATGTTTTCAAATTAATGTGTTTTTTGGGTGCTAATGTTCATGCCTATGAAGTTTATTCGAATCTGAATCAAATTATTGTCCTCTGAAGTTTTGTCAAAGTTTGGTTTTTGGGAACAATTTGTCTTAGTAATGAGTCTGACATTCATGATTGATAGGATTTAGTTCATGCTTGATTAAGGGTTTTAGGCTCAAAATCGACATGGTAGCGGTTTCCTTGCAACCGAAGTTTGAGCGAAGCCCGAAAACCAAGGTCCAAGCATGATTCGGGAACCAATTTGTCATAAATTTAGGTGTCATATGTGGCATTACAAGCTGTGGATCTGTGTGCTATATTTGAGAGCTTACTTGATATCTTGTGTAGGTAAGGCCATCTCCAACTGATGGCTGGCCAGATGGCTCGTTTTAGTCATCTGGCCCTCCAAGATCCTCCAAGATATTAATATTTTAATGAACAGTACAGGGTCATATTTGCCTCTGTCTCCAACCGAGGGCCAGAGGGCCAGATGGCTCGTTTTAGCCCTGTCATAAAAAACCGTCTCCAACCGAGGGTCAAAGGGTCATAAAGCCAAATATAATTTATTATTTAAAAACTACAACTTAAATTCAAATTCAATGGCTAAGTAACATCAGCTAGCCGTTGGATTTGAATTTTTTTTTGTTATAAATAGGGTGGATATTGGGATATAATTCACACAACTTTGAATTCAATCTATTTCAATTCAAGTTTGCAATGAATTCCAACTTTGGATCCTCTTCAGATTCCAATTGGGGGTCCTCATCCAATTCCAAAAGAGAAGCAAAATGGGCACAAATGAGACGAGAAAATGAGGAGTCTAATGAAGAAGTTCAAGTAAGACACAACAAACAAAACAGAGTAGCAGCCATAACTGTGGCCATGGTGTGTCAGCCAACTGAGGAATAACCTCAATGGGGTGGCTCTATTACTGGTCGCTGTTACAAACCACGAAATAGAGCGATGACGCATGCCAATCTAATGAACAACTACTTCAACCCTAACTTGGTATACACAGAAGAGGATTTCAGACGTCGCTTCCGGATGAGGCGTCATGTCTTCGAGCGTTTACTTCGTGATGTCCAACGGGTCAATCCGTACTTTGGACAGAAACGGGACAGAGCATGCCGCCCCGGTTTCTCACCTCATCAAAAGGTTACTGTTGCACTCCGAATGATGGCCTATGGCTCCTCAGCTAATTCGATGGATGAAACCCATGGTATGTCTAAGTCTACATGCCTCTTAAACAATTTTGTGACACAATTGTTCAGGTTTACACAGACGAGTACCTCTGCGAGCCAAATCAAGAATTTGAATTGGCTCATTCGCAAAGCTGAAGACCGTGGGTTTCCGGGCATGATAGGGTCATTAGACTGCACGCATTGGGATTGAAAGAACTGTTCCACTAGATGGCAATGAGGCTTTAACGGAAGGTCGAGAAAGCCAACTGTTGTGTTAGAGGCAGTTGCCTCATATGACACATGGATCTGACATGCTTTCTTTAGAGTCCATAGATCCAAAAATGACATTACAGTTCTTGGGCGTTCACCCTTCTTCAATAACTTAACGAAAGGTAAAACACCTCAACTTGACTACTACATCAACGATCGTCAATACAATATGGGGTATTACTTGGCATATGACATCTACCCAAAGTGGGCGACACTTGTCCAAGCAATTCCAAACCCTAGGAATGACGCAGAAAAGTTGCTTACCTTACACCAAGAGGCATACCAGAAATATGTTGAGAGAACTTTCGGTATTCTACAAGCACGGTGGAAGATCATCAACGAACTGGCAAGAGAAGGAGTCAAGAAAATTTAGACTCCATCATGATGTCTTGCATCATATTACACAATATGATAATGGAGGATGAGCGAGATAGGTATATTGATGGAGAGTCCGATGACGACCAAGAAGATCCAAATAGGTCAAGAAGGGCTCGTGCAAAAATATATGATGGGCCTAATTTTCCTTTCAATCCAAGAACTTGTAGTATCTCTATAAATGAGTACATGAGGCGCTATAGAATGATACATTCTCGTGCCACAAATAAGTACCTACAACAGGATCTTGTTGCACATCTTTAGGCCAAAAGAAGCATGGAGTAAGTGTTTAAGTTTTATGTTGTTAAATGTTTAAAAATTTTGTTTAAGTTTCATGTTGTTAATTGTTTTTTTATGTTGTATAATTTGTATGTTGGTTAATGTTATTTAATGTTGTTTCATATTGTTTAATGTTGTTTCATGTTACTTCATTTAATTTAATGTTGTATAATGGCTTAGGAAGTTATAGGAAAGAAACATAATTTTAAAAAAATATGAAACAAACTTTGTGAAATAGAAGTTATAGGAAAAAAAAAGAATTCAAAATAAAATGAAACAAATTTTGCGAAATAGAAGTTATAGGAAAAAATGGAATTTAAAAAAATATGAAACAAATTTTGTAAAATAAAAGTTATAGGAAAAAATAGAAGTTATATGAAAAAATTTGTAAATAAAAAATAATAATCAAAACTGTAATATACTTTGCATAGTTTACACTGGAGGGCTCTTTGGTTAACTTGCAGACGCTGTTACTCGGAATATCATATGCCTGCCGCATTGGTGGCAAGGAAAGTTACTCGGAATATCCTATGTCTGCTGCATTGGTGGCAAGAAAATTTGTTCCCAAATCCGCAGGCGCTTTAGATTAACGTAAATTTCTAAATGAATAACAGTTGCGGATTCTGATCTTGGTCTCTTTCGGTTTAATTCTAGGTTTATCTTTCTCCGGTGTGCTGCCAAAGTATTTCAGCTCAGAGTGGTCAGCAGCTAAATATCACTTGCCGGAAGGTCTGCGGTACACTGTTGCCCTTGGCCACCAGAAGAACACGGTGGTGATTCTTGTCATGGACGGAAGGTAAGCGATTTTGATATTGTTTGTTCTTTTCTTTCCCGCTTCTGAATATTACTCGTCTAATCCAGTTATCGGATTACCAATGCAGCTTCTACCGATGCCAGTTTGACCCTGTAAACGGAGGAGGGATGACTCAGATTGAATACCATAACTTTCTTAAGCCCGAAGAAACCTCTGAAGTAGTGTAAATATACAGTTATGGTAATGACTCCTATTACGTTACGTCCTCTTGTCCCTTGCATTGCTTAGGGTTGAAATTAGTACATCGTAAATATCTGAGGAAATGAGGAATGTGCTAGAGATTGTTCAACATTTCAACATTGTAAATAAACTTGCCTCAAAATTTCTACTTCGCAGCGTTCAGGATTAGTTCAATTTTAACATTACTGTACGTTTCTGCGAGATTTACATACGTAAGATTAGATACAAGTCCACACTACGTTATTCGTCCAATGAAGGAAGAAATAGACGATATTTGAGTTACAAAACGATTCACATCAATATAGAGAGTGTTTTTTCGAGCTTACATGAACACGTACAAACTGGCTGGCTAATGCATACACTCTTGTACTTTTTAGTCACGAGATTACAGGAATCAGACGCAGCAAACATCTTGTACACAAACGCTTTTCATTCAACAACAATAAAGCTTTAAACCACTAAATAGGGTAGGCTGTACGAAACGTAAATGCTTTTCCAATCACATATCTGAATTGGACTCCTCTGGGATCACTGTTAAAGTCACTATCTCGTCTCTCGCTCGTATAACGACTGCCTTGATGGGCACCCCAACTCGGTCTCCCATTATTTCAATGATCTGTCACAATTTCACCAATAATATGAACCATCATACTGAATAATCATATATATAACCAAGTCATATGCTAAAGTTTGGAGCAAATACTATCGATGTCTACTCAGACAAATTTCAGCAACAAAAAACTGACTGTAAATATTTCACACTATAGCATTCACTTTCAATCCAAACTGTAACGATATTATTGTACGGGTTCTAATATGGCAATACCTCCTTGATGCTCTCAACAGCGTTTCCATCAAATTCAATAACAACATCACCAGGACTGAACCCAGCTCGTTCAGCAGGCGATCCAGGAGTTACCTACACGAACATTGGGCAGATTATCAGACAAGCGATCCAGCCATCTCAACAATCAAGCAGGAATATGTTCGTTCCCCTGGATGTACAATGTCAAGGTATTCACGATGAAGTTAAAGTAAGAGCATGGTGCATTAATCTTATTCATCGTTTCCTAGCACCCAGTGGAAATAATTGTGTTATTTGTTGAATCCCAACGTTCTATAACAGCCTCGTGTCTGTGTTTGTACATCACGTACCCATTTGGACAATACTGATGCATATCAAGGTAGGGAAAACAACTTAGGCACTATTACCAGATTGGCTATGAAGCCATTTAAAAATCTTGCAATTCAGAAACTGCCATAGGATGGAATCTACTGATATGTTTTCTACACGGATAGATTCAGCTACTATTTGGATAAATGTGCATAAATTTAGGAAGGAAGCAACTGTATACATACCATAGGCACTAGAATGCCTTTCTTCACATTTGGGAATGTAGGATCTCTTTCTTTAAGCTGATTGATGATCATCTCATTGAGATCGATCATCTTTAGTCCAACCCAAGGCCGAACAACCCTCCTGCCAAAGATGACCGATTAGCTTCACAGATATTGTGATAAAGGAAACCAAATTGTCAAAGACTTATATGACTTTAGACTAATGAGTTTCATGCTGAAAGTATACCCGCTTTTCTTGAAGTGCTCTATGATTTTGGTGACTGAATCGATTGGGAAGGCAAAACTCAATCCATCAGCAGCAAGTACTTTCATAATATTAACACCAATCACTTCTCCGTCAATATTCACCAAAGGCCCCCCAGAATTGCCCTGCACCACGCAAGTGAGAGACCAGAAAAAGGAGCCAAGTCTTAGGCACATTTCATAGTCATTATTAAGGGACACACACAATGAAGAGTGAGAGAGATACCGGATTGATTGCGCAATCTGTCTGTAAATACTCTCTCCGCACTCCACACAACTAGATTTCAGGGAGAAAACAAAATGAGGAAAAGGCAAGAACTAGTGCTTACCATTGTCAATTTAAGACACAACGCTAGCTTTTCTTACTCAACATCTATCATCTACATAACATGGAAGGCTTGAAATTGTTCGTGTTGCTAGAAGTTCCACTTCATAACCGGTAAAAGAAAAGAACAACTCCTTATTACTCAAAATTATTATAACTTACCTTATAATACCAGCTGTGACAGTATTCTGAAGTGAAAGTGGACAACCAACAGCTATCACCCAATCCCCAGGTTGAAGTTTACGCGAACTGCCGAGCTTTGCTGTTGGCAGTGGGGTTTTAGAATTGATCTTTACTATAGCCACATCGGATTGTAAATCTGCATTGACCACGGTACCCTCAAATGTTCTACCATCTTGCAAAGTGATATGAACCTGTACCAAGTTACACCAAACATCAAACCTACTGCATTTCATAACCCAGTCTTACGACTCTTACCCCATTTTACAACATCCTTAATAATGTCCTAACATGAATTATTTTCAATTTTAAATATGATTTTAAACTTTGAAATACATGCCCTTCCTATATGTAACAATGTGATATTTTAAATGACGAAAACTGGGAAGTAGTTTCTAACCTTCCCTTTTGATGAAGCTCTCAGGCCATAAAAATCAACTACAGTATGAGCACATGTTAAAATTGTACCGTCCTCGTTAATAATAGTTCCAGAGCCTATACTCTTTCCCGGAGTGATCCCATATGCACCTACAAGACTCAGTTGACAAATTAGCATTATTGTCGATTTCACAATATAATACACAACAACCTCAAAATAAAATGCAAAGTAGGAAAAATAAACATCCCAAAATGTACGCTTACCCTGTGGAGCAGAGATATTGACAACAGCAGGACCGACCTTTGCAGCCGCCTTTGCGAAAGAATCTCTGCCCAAACATCCAGAACATGGCTTTGGGGTCTCTTCAGATGGGGAAACACCATAAATATCCTTCCTTATATCTGATGGTGGAACTGGACTACTTCCCACAGAAAATAGAGGAGCCAATAGCTCCGTTTGCCATGGAAGCAGCAGCAGTGATTCGGGCAATGGCGCAGGGATTGACACTGAAGCCGTATAGTCTAAAACCCAATTCATGAGCAGTGATATGGACATTTAACAATTACAGCTACAAATAATGGTCTATTAATCACAGTTAATCGATTAAAAGCACACTAATTTTTAGCCTCAAATTAAAGTTTATAAATGCTAAGCGCAAAAACATCTCAAACGAGTCACGATCTCAATTCATATTTTGATCAATCAAAACCCAACATTTGATTTCTCATGTCCTCAATTGCCCAGCAAGCAAAAAGTGTTTGACAACAAGAAAAGATCAAAATTCAATATGGAACAAACATAAAAAAAAGAACTTGGAGCTCACCGGAGTTTCTGCTGCCGTTGGTGTACAAAAAAGCCGACCCTGCAGCGGCGGCAATGGCGGCAATCCGGTTCCGAGTTGAAAATTTTCTCTGCCGGAATCAGATGGGAAATTCATAAGTTTCTAGAAAAGTAACAAAATTTGAAAATAATTTGAATTAAAGTGCGAGAATACCAGAAAATCGTTCATGAGTAGAGGGAAGAAGAAAGCTTCTGGAATGTGTTTGGAAGTTCTGGAACGCAAAATACACCAAAACCCCGCGATAAACCCGCCCTTCTGCTTTTGTTGACGGCGCCTTAAATCTCAGAGACCGTACTAGAAGTTTTGAATGGGCTCTACAAACCAACCATCAAGTTTAAATGGGCTTTTCCCATATGAAGCCCAAGAAAACAAACTTTTCTCCACCCTCTTCAAATTTTTTTTTTTCTTTTTTGAGTACATCGATATTTTTACCCTAAGGGGAGGAGGAGTTCGGCTAAGCCACATAATGGGCAACCTAATTTGGTATTGAATTAGTCATCCACGAGATTCGAACTTAAGATCTCTCACTTCCAAGTGAAGAGTAATACCACAAGATCGTAGTATTGAGTGACAAATCATTTTTTCTTTTAAATGAGCGAAAACGTTGGTGGGTTAAATAGTTGGTTATTAGTTTGAGAAAAAAAATCAATAGGAATCGAATTTGCACTATTTTGCATAAACATGATTTATTTCGCTACTACGGTAAAGCTCCATCTACAACAATTTTAGAAAAACGTTACTTCTTTTGAAATATTGACCCATGCACGAATTTTTTCTTCCCGCCGCTTCAATTGAGCAATGATTTTAAAGTAATTCCATCCTTTTGATTTGCCTACACTGTTCTCGAGTCCTTTAATATGCGTCAATCGATCATCTACCATTACAATTGTCAATTTTTTTAGATCACATTAAAGGTTATTTTCATGAATCGAGATCTTTTCTGCATCTCACAGCCTTAGTCGACAAAGCAAAGTTATCCCAACCATACATTTCAAATCTTACAATCCCCATAGTCTATCTTACTAACTCACCTTACAAAACCTAAAGGTTCGAATCTAACTCTCTTGAACGGCTCGAATTACGCTATCCGTCAGCTCTAGACTGCGAGATCCGAAGAGGATCTGAATTCTATTTTCATCTATTCGCATGGAGAAAGCTAACTGAAAAGAGATCAAATTGACCATTGAAACATCTTGGCATGTTTAGAAAATTGGGTCTCGAAGCCAAAATCAAGGACAAGGGAGAAATTCGAAGAACATTATTAGTTGCATATGTGAGGTAGGCTAATTCGACAGGTCAATGTGTCCAACCACTTGCATTTCGAAAAGTCAAATTTTCACCAAAAAGGTTGCATTTTGATCACCATTTCCATTCACAAAAGCAAGAAAAATCCATTGGAGGCTGCCCAGAGTATATCCAACCCTCTACAAGTCCCATTTGAGCACTACTCACTAAACCAGTGATTACCCCATAAACCAAAATCCAAAACACAGACTAAATTACCTAACTTCCCTACTCAGTCACTGACATTCATGATCATGTAGTTGTTGATAAACCAGAAACACCAGACGACGAGCTCCTCGAAGCATTGGGGGAATTGGGGACATTTTCCGCAACATCAGAAGCTGAATCGGCAGCCGCCGCAGGCGGGTTTGGAGAA